GAATTTTAGATGTGAGCCCTCAGAGCCTGTTTTATTTTCTTTTTGCTACTTCACCAAACATTTTGTATTTCCCCGTAACAATATTTCAGTGCTGTGTTATTTCTTACTCCTTCCAGCTCCTCTCATTATCTTTCTATTACCTTGTTTTTCTACCTCTTTCTCTTAAATCAAACTACCTTTAATTGATATGCTTGTTAAGCTCTCATTTTTTGTTTTAAAGTTCCATTTTTCAACAAAAAATGGGGATGGAGTGAAGGCATCTATTGCTTCTTACTTCATTTAAGTATATTTTACCCAGAGATGGAGGAAAGCCTGAAGATGAAAAATTAATGAAACAATGAACACTAGAATTAACAAGGGGTAAAAATACAATAGAACTTTTGGAAAAAGTAAATGCTTTCAATTACTACCCTAAAGGCAAATGACCTTTATTTTCCAATCAAAAGACAGATTATTGGAACAAATTAAAAATTAGGATCAAACAACTTGTCATCCACAAACTACTCATTTCACAAAAAGAAACATAAAGACTTTAAAAGATAGAAAAAGGTATACTAATAAGCAGAAATTAAAAACAAGTGAGAATTCCTATTTTCATAGACCTGTATCATGTCCCAGTGTATCTTTTTTTCATGTTGATTGCAACATTGTTTACTACAGCCAAGTTATAGAATCAGCCCAGATGGCCCTCAAAGAACAAATGGATCAAGAAAATGTGATATAAATGAACATTGGAATTCTACTCATTTATCAAAAGTATTGTACCATTATTAGTAAGCAAATGTAAATACTTGGGAAAAATTATATTAAGTGAAGTAAGCCAGTTCCAGAGGAACACAGGTTGCATGGTTTTGCTCACTTGTGGTAGCTAGAATTTGCCTATAAATCTACAAGTAAGCACACTGGATAATAGATAAATCTTAGAGGGCCCAATGATTTCAGGCAGACAGGCCTACTTATGGCTTAAATTACAGATTCCATTCTACTTCATTTATGTACTCACTATGTTCTCATTAAGAGCAGAAAATTAGGTGGGAGATAAACCTTGTCTTGATTACTTTCTCTGTGAAAAATGAATATAGAGAAAATATTGTGATTCTTTTTAATTTAATCATTATTAATCATTATAATAACTTGGCCTGTTTATTAAAATATGCACAAATCAGAAAGATTCATACATATACATATAAATTACTATGGCATGAGAATTTTCAGCATTATAAATTCTTGCAAAATAATTGTGTAATATCTAATTGAGTGGTGGCACTTGGCTTTATTTAACAATTCTGCCAAATGGCTTTAAAATTAAAGAATAAAAATAGTGTCTACAAATAAAAATCTATTTGTACCCCCTCTTCATTCTTTAGAATTGAATTCCAGGAATGATGTAATTAGTCCAAATGCTAGAAACATTGGAAAGTTAATGTTTTGTTTTCTTTCATTGAACTTATTTTCAAGTGTTGCTGGTTTTTGAGCTAAGCATATTTGGTATTTCTTGGCTCATATGTGTTACTTATTTTTCCTTTTTCAATGTTATTCTTTCTTGTACCTTCAAACTTATGACTGCTTTTCTACTCTTTCTTTCTTTCTTCCTTTCTTCCTTTCTTTTTTGTTTCCTTCTTCTTCTTCCTACTCCTTCTTTTTCTCTTCCCCCTCCCGTACTCCTTTCCATCCTCCTCCTTCTCCTTGTGTAATTATATTTTCATTATACTTAAGTAGTTGCACAAAGGGGTTATCATTCAACACGCCAATTTATGTCTTCCTTTTCTCCATCCCTCCCAAACCAACTCAACCCCAATTTTCCTAATTTTATAGGATGTGCATTGAATATTATGACCTTATTCTCCCCAATTTCCTCTCTTCATTCCACCTCCCACATGTACATTTCAAGTACCAGCTTTGCATTATTTATTTTGTTTGACTGTGAACTAGCTGTTTTAAGGACTTATTCCATTTGAATTCTCCCCAGAATATACCATAATTTGGTTAATATATTGTGTATCCTAGCAAAAAGATGCCCAAAATTTTGATTATTACAACTTTGGTGCTGGGAGGGGGCAGGGAGGATTGGGTAGGGCGGCGGGGGGAGGATGGGAAGAGATGGGAAGGGGAAACAAAGGAGGAGGTTACAATGCTTGATAAGAAATGTACTCATTATCTTGCCCATGTAATTGTAACCCCTCTGTAAAGTATTTTCACAATAAAAAAATTTTAAAAAGTGTACCATCATTTTCCTCCACTCCTTTCTTTGATTTTCCTACTAATATCTGGTTAACCTTAATTAGTAATCAATTTCCTACCATTCAAGAATTCATGTTTATTTTTTCTTTAAGTTTAATTCCACATTAAATGTTACTAATCAAATGAAATATTCATGGGTACTCACAATAAATACTATTTATCTCACCAGTATAGATTCTAAATAACTTTTATGAGGTCATTGCAGTAACCAAGTTATTAGCTTTCACTATAAAGACAAATAAAAATTTGTATTTTTCTTCCAATTGGTGATAATATTCCAAGATGAATCCAAAATTTGTGCTAAAAGAGAGGTGTTTATGGGACAGAAGAACATGATGTAAGGACTAAGAATCCTTTCAGCTTGATATATCTTTGGACCTGCCTCAACTTTTAACTAAAAACATAGTAGCTAACATATGTTTTGCTTGTATTTTGTTTATTGCTGGAAATTGTGACTTGATAGTGGGGACTCCTAATGGCACAGGGCCTAATAAAGTCACATAGCATTTTCTATTTTAATGTTCTATTTTAAGATCAAGTGCCTTATCCATTGAAATAAAAATAGAATATTGCTCCTGAGGAATCAGCCTTTCAAATGAATATGTGCATCTCCTATTTATCAGAAATATCTCCATGTAACTTGATTGTTTGTATCTATTTAAATATTTAGAAAGCTTATCCTGAAGAATAGACTTGATGCAAAGACCCATTAAAATAAAAGCACAAGGAAGGAAATTTGGAAGAGTGTTTGCTTAACATGCATGAAGCCCTGGGTTCAGTTCTTCAGTACCATAAACAGAAAAAGCCAGAAGTAGTACTGTGGCTAAAGTGGTAGAGTGCTAGCCTTGAGCAAAAAGAAGTTCAAGGAAAATGGCCTGGCCCTGAGTTCAAGCCCCAGGACTGGGAACAATAAAAATATATATAATAAAATAAAGAAAAGCACACCAGTGATTGATATAGAACTCATAATCACAGAATATTATAACTGATGGAAGATCAGAGCTAGACAAAACAGTAACTATTTATTTCTATGCATCTAATTAAATATACATATATTTTTATTGTAAAGATACTGTACAGTGGGGCTACAGTTACATGAATAAGATAATGAGTACATTTCTTATGGAGCATTGTTACCCCCTCCTTTGTTTTTCCCTACCATCCCTTTCCTCCCTACCTCCTCAACTCCTCCTTCTCCCCGCCCCCAAGTTGTAAAGTTCATTTTCAACATAGTGTCTTGTACATCTCATTGCTACTATGGGTCAACCTCTTACCTTGTTTCAACATTTTGTTATTTCCCTTCCCCTCCCCAAATTAGAAAAATGTATATACAAGATGTAGGGCACCAGAATCAAATACAGTGAAAATAGGAGTTATACCATGGGGGAAGAATATACAAAAGAAACAAAAATCACATAGTACATTGAAAACAACAGCAAGAAAGATAAAACCACTTATGTCCCTCTCTTGGGGTTAATTTCACTTAGCCTCATCTTATATGGTCATATGTTCATAGCTTTTGACCTTTTCTGTTTCTCCTAGACATATACTAATTACTGCAAATAAGGGAGACCATGAGACCTATGTTTCTTTGGGCCTGGCTTACTTCACTTAATATAATTTTTTCCAAGTCTTTCCATTTCTTAACAAAAGTAGCAGGTGTCATTCTTTCTGATGGAGGCATAGAATTCCATTATGTGTGTGTGTGTGTGTGTGTGTGTGTGTGTGTGTGTGTGTGTGTGTGTGTGTGTGTATGCCACATTTTCTGGATCCATTCATCTACTGAGAGGGATCTGGGTTGGTTTCATATCTTAGCTATGGTGAATAAGGATGAAAAGAAATGTTCTGCTTCTGTAGCCATAAAAGGGATGCAAATAAAAACAACATTAAAATTCCACCTCACCCCAGTTAGAATGGCTAGAATCAAGAAACCTAATAACAACAGATGCTGGAGGGATGCCAAAAGGGAACCTTACTGCATTGTTGGTGGGAGTGTAAACTTTGGAAAGCAATATGAAGGTTTCTCAAGAGACTGCATATTGAGCTCCCTTATGACACAGCTATCCCACTTTTGGATATTTACCCAAATGATCACAAATAAGACCATACTAAAGCCAGCAGAACAACTATGTTTATCTACGCATCTAATTTTAAACTGCTTTAAAACCAACATTCCTTTCTTGACAAATAGCAAAACCAATTTTTCTAACAAGAGTATGAATGATACATTTTCTATCAGTGAAAGAATCAGTGTATTTATACTTCACTAAGTATAAATTGACATGAAAGCCAATAATCTTATATTTAAAAACCATTTATATTTCACATCAAGAAAGAAAAGAAGTCAAAGATGGACATATATTAAAATATATCATTTTCTTTTTTTTGGCGGGGGGGGGGGGGGGTCCAGTCATGGGGCCTGAACTCTGGGCCTGGGCACTGTCCCTCAGCTCTTTAGCTCAAGGCTAGTGCTCTACCACGTGAGCCACAGCGTCACTTCCAGCATTTTTCTTTTTGCTTATGTGGTGCTGAGGAATCGAACCCAGGGCCTCGTGCATGCAAGGCAAACGCTTTACCACTGAGCCACCTTCCCAGCCCAAATAAATCATTTTCTAAAATCCCTTATGCTCTTATTAACCAATATATTTAGATACATTTAGATAATGACTCCACGAGTTAAAATAATTGGTTATATCATCAAAACAGTTCTACCTGAAAATATCTAGAAAGAAAAATGAAATGGAGCAGTCATTATAAGATTACTTTGTTTCCAGTAAAAGAACATTTCTGAGAATTGCAGAAACCTGACCAGGCTTCAGATATCGACTCTTCAGTTTTGACATAGCTGCCTTCATTTCTTTGTTCCTTAGACTGTAGATAACAGGGTTTAAAATGGGAGTAAAGATGGTATAAAATACAGCCAGTATTTTGTCAATTGAATAACTGCTGAAAGGCCACACATAGATGAAAATGCATGGTCCAAAGAACAGCGTGACCACAGTGATATGAGCAGTCAGTGTGGAGCGGGCCTTGGCCATGCTAGCAGAAGAGCGATTCCTCACTGTGATGAGTATTACAGTGTAGGAGACAACCAAGAGGAGAAAGGAACTCAACGAAAGAAAGCCACTGTCTGCAACTATTAGTAAGCTGACAACATAAGTATCTATGCAGGCTAGCTTTGTCACTAGAGGAAGGTCACAGAAAAAACTGTCAACCTGATTAGGACCACAAAAGGGCAAGTTGACAGTGAATGCTAGCTGGCTGGTAGTGTGGATGAAGCCCACACTCCAGGATATGAGAACGAGCATAATACACACTCGGCGGCTCATGATTGTCATATAGTGGAGAGGCTTGCATATTGCAACATAGCGGTCATAGGCCATGGACACGAGAATAACCATTTCACTGCCTGTAAAGAGGTGAACAAAGAAAATCTGAGCCAGACAGGCATCAAAAGAAATAGTCTTTTGCTCAACCAGAAAGTCAGCAATCATTTTTGGGGTAGCAAATGAGGCAACACATACATCTATGAAGGAGAGATTTGCAAGCAGAAAATACATGGGGGTATGAAGGCGGGAGTCTGAGGTCACAGTTAGTATGATGAGAAAGTTGCCCAGTAGTATAGATAGGTAGAGTAGTGAGAATATGAAAAACAGAAAAGGTTGAAGCTCCTTGGAACTGGAGAGTCCCAGCAACACAAATTCTGTAACACGAGAATAATTCGTCTCATTCATTGACTTTGTAAGAAACTTCTTTTCAGAGACCTGGAGAGGAGAAAAACAAATAGCCATCAATGAAGTTTGGTTTGCTTTTGGTTTTCTTTCCCAATTATACTTTAGGTTTCTCGAATCTAATTTCTGTGTATATCTATGTCCTTGGATTTACTTGAAATATTCAAAATTATATAGATAATACAAAAAAATCCTGTATAACTCTAGATAGATAAAATTTAAAAACAGGCACACATAAATAAAAACACAAACTCCACATAACAGTGTGACCACAGAGATGTGTTCTGTCAGTTTGGAATGGGCCTTTGCCATGACAGTAGAGGTGTTAAAAATATCAATAGTTTCTGTGAAAGGAGGATAGGAAGAGAAATAAGCTTTTCATTATATTTTTGTAGGTAAGCTTATAGAAGTAATCATTGCTTATAGTTTTGCCTTTTCTCCCAAATTAAATTTTTAACTACAATTAAAAATATTGGCAAAATAAATAATCTAGGCTTGCCTAGAGCCCTCTGCCAGTTTTGCAGCTCATTTTTATTAAGCATTTTATGAAGAAATATGTTGCTGTATTATTTCCTTCACTATTACTGAACTTCTATATGCTCAAACCCTGCTGACAATGATCATTGAAAGTTTCTTGCTATGATGAGTATGTATAGTAAGAAAATTTGCCTCATGAGCAAAATGTCTGTTCTTTTTATTGTTAGTCCATTCTATTTTTTAAAATTCTATTTTATGAAGTTTTATTTGTATAAACTATATAGATCATGAAAGTTATTAGAAAATATGAAAAATTAGCAACTTGACAAGGAATTTTAGGTTATTTAAAACTGAAAAATCTTTGATCATGTGTGTCAGTTCTTGCTTTTTATTTTTCTAATTTTAAAGCATTTTAAAATGTTGATGTTAATATTTTCCTTAAATATAATTGCAAATTTCTTAATGTTTCCTAGAGTTTCATGAGAGGATATGAATTAAGACAAGGAATATAATGAATAATTTTAACAACCAGAAATGAAATTCAAAGATTCACTTTTATTTTTCAAATCTTACTTTTCCATACAACCCATCCATTAAAAAATTAATTCAGTTATCATCACAGACTGGGAGTACATGATTTTCAGAAAAATTCAACAAGTAGAGTTTTAGGCTAAAGAATACTGAAAGCAAAAATCATATTACAAGAGAATCACTGCATTACCTTCAGAAACTTACTCAACACTTTCTCAGTTTTGGAGGTCTCTTAGTTCTCCAGAGACAAGAAAAGAAATAATATCCAATAAAATTAGTTAATATGGTTTCATGGGCAATGTATGAGAAAGATCAAACATTAACTACAGATAGTCTCTGAAGGAGGTCTTCTGGTGCTAGAGCATGAAAAAGTATAACAGAAGGATTTAGGAGCACAGAAGACTTCTTTCTAAAATATATGATTCAATTATGTGAGAAAATCAGCACAAGAATTATTCACCAATGATTTCTAAGCCTTTCTCCAAGTTGTATTCTTTTATTGTCTCTGGATTCTTGGAACATTCAGAATAAAAACCCATTTTACATGGTAAAAAAAAATCATGCAAATTGAAGAAATTAATAACTTAATTTCTTAGTACATATGAACTTTATTTACTATGTAACTTCTTTTTAAATTAATTCATTTTTAAACATTTAAGTGCTTTCTTTTTCAAAGACATGTTTTGCACTGGTAGTAGTTAGGTTTATTACTTCCTTCCCTAAATATTATTTTCCAATAATAATTATATTTGCTTATCCAGAGCAGTTGAACTGACATACAGTGGATACAAAACTATTATGTAAAAAGCCTATGTTAAAGTGACAGCTGTGTCATTGGACACTTATCAAACTGAAGACACCAAACTGGTCCTTCAGCCTTCCACAGCTCAGAATCCTCAAATATTAAAAATTTAACATATTGCCTTGAAATGGACATTTGAATTGTTTCTTAAAAATTATGTAGGTGAGAAATCTGCCAAAGTGAGCACCCACATTCTTAATAATGTGTTATTCCAGATTATAATAAATAACTAATTTCTACAATTTTACATAGTATGCTTTGGCACATAAAAGAATGAGTATTAGATGTGTTCGTTAAAGAGAAATATTGCATTTTTATATTCACAGATAAACTGTATGCCCTGTGAGATTAGGTTAGGCAATACTCAGATTCTTCCTTCTTTAGCTTCCATCAAATTATATTTTTCCAATACTTACAACTCAGATATTACAACTGATATATATATAACAAATAAAAGTTTTGTGCACAGAGATCACCATATCCTTATTATATCAAACACCAATGTTTCACAAGCTTTTCTGCATTCTTGCTTCTTAGTCTCCTCTAAAATCAAATCAGAAATATGAAAGTGATTCCTGAACTATGCTAGAGGCAAATATTTGTATGTACTTTTCATAGTGATGTTGACCAAAATTTTTACTTACTGGAAATGAAAAGTAGAGATATCTTATAATCTGCAATATGGGAAGAATTTAGTTGCTACTTCCACATCTTCTAATCCCTGTAGAGATAAGCCAGAATTTACTTTTTGAAAAAGAATTAATATGCACAGGATGTCCATAGTCAAGCTGGGCTATTTTGAAGGAGATGAAATAAAAGTAGATGGGAGACCACTTATAGACATCAGAAACCTGAAATAAGAAAAGATGACTAAGGAGAACAAATTTCATGTTTGAAAACAAATATTCTGTTTCCAAATCCTGCAAATGAGTTAGCCTAATTGGAGCTTTTGTTCATAATAGGAGTACATTCGTTGGCCACAAATGCTGTCAGAAGCCGCTAGACATAAAGAACAATTATAAACCACTAGCATTACATTAAAAAGACTATTTGTATGTGACAGCTTTAAGTGCAAAATATTTACTTACATGCTGTAGGGAACTATTACCTTTCAACTAAGCCTTTTCTTATAGTTGCAAAAAATACCACTATTCCTATCTTGGATTGATAACATTACCACCTACCAAGAGAAATGCAATTCTTCAGAAGCCATTGGATGAGGGAACAAAGGCAGACATCCCATGTCTGCAGACTTTGTTTTCCACCTTTCACAATTTGAAGTGTCAATATCCACACAGAGATATAAGAAAAGCTATCAAAATGACTAGAAACCAATCAGGAATTAATGTCATTGTACTGAAGTGACCAAGAGACCCAAAGGAAAGTTGAGATCATAAAAATCACATTTATTATGAATAATTGCATGAGAGGCTTTGCTTACAGTAATTAGTGTGCATTATCATGAGACTTTCCCAGATGGACAATCAGCATGATTAATAGAAACAGGATAAATCTTGTTGACAAATGAATACATGGTTGATAGGAAAGCAGTAACCAATTTTGCTAGTTAGTCATGTTTGCTTTAGAAGAAATAAAGAAAAGTGACAGTGAAGAAGTAAAAAAATGGAGAGATTTGGGGCTGGGAAGGTGGCTCAGTGGTAGAGCGCTTGTCTTGCATGCATAAGGCCCTGGGTTCGATTCTTCAGCACCACATAAGCAAAAAGAAAAAAACCAGAAGAGGCGCTGTGGCTCAAGTGGTAGAGCGTTAGCCTTGAGCTGAAGAGCTGAGGGACAGTGCCCAGGCCAAGAGTTCAGGCCCCACGACCGGACCTCCCCCCCAAAATGGAGAGATTCTGTAACTGCATACTACATATGCTATCTCTCTTATTTTATTCCCTCAAAAATTCTGTTGTAGGAAATGGTGCTGTGGCTCAAGAGGTAGAGTGCTAGCTTTGAGCTGAATTGCTGAGGGACAGTGCCCAGGCCCAGAGTTCACAACAACCCACCACCACCACCACAACAACAAAATTCTGTTGTAACAAGTGGTAGAGCCCTGATCCTGAACAAGAAAGTGAGAACTGGAGGTCCCAAGTTCACATCTTAGTACTGGTACATGCACACACACACACACACACACACACTCACACACACACACACACACACACACACACACACACACACATTTGCCTGCATGCATGTGCACACACGCACATACACCCACATACACACAATCTGATATTTTAACATTTATTTTTTTTGGGGGGGGTTCGGTCGTGGAGTCTGAACTCGGGGCCTGGGCGCTGTCCCTCAGCTCTTCAGCTCAAGGCTAGCGCACTACCACTTGAGCCACAGCGCCACTTCCAGCTTTTTTCGTTTTGCTTATGTGGTGCTGAGGAATCGAACCCAGGGCCTTGAGCATGCAAGGCAAGCGCTCTAGCACTGAGCCACCTTCCCAGCCCCTTAACATTTATTTATTGAGTGATTTTAGACTAAATATCTAATTCAAAGTTTCCAAAATATATTAAAGCATTCTATTGACTCACAAATAACATCATCTAAATAAAACATTTTTTTCCTAAATTTTCTTTTTAGTAAGGGCATATATGAAGACTTCATCACAGTATAAATATTCCCTACCACTATTTGTTATTATTGCTGTCTACCATGCTACACCACATTTTTCACTTAAAAATTATATTACTTTTTTTCTTTGAACATTGAATGATCACTTATAAGGATTTAAAATATATAGAGAAAGAGCTTTGTACTTACATATTTGCCAATCTAATACCTTTAGTACTTTTAATATTGATAGATGTGCTATTTTTTTCTTCAAGGAATTTCTCTAACAATTATCATTTGGTAGGTCAGCTGTAGTAAATTCTTTCAGATTTTTTACTCAGATAAATATTATATTTTGCTTTTGTTTTAGAAGAATTTGGATGTGTACAGTGTTCTAAGATGGAGATTACTTTTGCAATTAAATATATATATATAGATAGATAGATAGATAGATAGATATTGCTGGGCGCCAGTGATTCATTCTTATAATCCTGAACAGAAGACTGTTGTTCAAAGCCAACCCAGACAGGAAAGTCTGTGAGACTCCAATTAATCACCATAAAAAGCTAGAAATGGATCTGTTTTTCAAGTGGTAGAATGCTAGCATTCAGCATAAAAGTTTAGGGACAACACTGGGATTCCAGGCTTATGAAACCACGTCTGGCTTTCATTACTGATAACACATGTTGGT